CACGGATAGTTGACAGTGGAGTTTGGTGGCGGCGGCTTGGTGATGGTGGTGGAAGTGGTCATGGAGGAGGAAAAAATGAAGTGTTGGTCAATGGGTACAATAATGGTACAGGGAGAACTAGTCACTGGTATTATGGTGTAAAAAATTTTAGATAGAAAAGTCTTTTTACATTTTCTTTTACTTTCATTTAAAGACAAACACTAGAAAAAGAGTGTCATTTTCAAAATGCGAGGAAAAGAATATCGTGACCTTATTTCGTTTAACTCAGTTTTCATAAAATTAAATTTTTTATTTTTTATTTTTATCAAATTCTTTTAATATTATATGTAATTTTTTTACTTTTTAGATATATCTAATTTAAATACAGTTAAAAAGTATAATATTTTTGATTTTTTTTGAAAAATCACTAAATACAAAAAATACGAAATTATATTAAATTTTCATATTTTGTTGTATTGAATGAATTTTTTTTAAAGATTTTTGTATAAAAAGCATACCAAGATTAACTGAATCTAATTTTTTTAAAAAAAATTGATTAAAATATTTTAAAAAAATCATAAAAAATACAAAAATACGAATTGAAAATTCCAACAACTGTTTTTGAATACTCCAAAGCAAAAATGGTACCTTGCCAATATTTAGGCCTCGTTTGGCAAGTGATTTTTTTAGTTAAAAAGTTAAAAAATCACTAAAAAAATAAAAAAGTCAACAACATATACAAAAAAATCAAAGATTTCATTTTCTCTTTACTTTTTGTACATCTTTTCGTAAAAAGTCAAAAAATCATCCCAAACATGCTAGTTTTTTTTTATCATATTTTAACAAAAAAGTCAAAAAATTACTAAAAAAGCATGTTCCCAAACGAGGCCTTTGTGGTGGTTTTTAGGTACCACCGAAATAAGCTGTTTACTAGCTCAATTATACAAAGAAAAATGGCTGGTAGCTCGAAATCCCCAGGCTCGAAAATGGCTTCGTTTTGATTTCGATTTTTTTTTTTCTCTTTTATCTGTGAAACGCAAGAAGAAAGGAAGAAAGAGAGGGAAGGAGCGAGAAAGAGAGAGAGAAGAGAAGAAAGAGAGAGAAAGGGAGAAAGGCCCGATCTGATCGTGTCTTCCTTCCTCTTTCACGATCTGATCTTCCTCTTCCACGATATTCCTCTTCCACTCCACCCTCGCCATCACTGGCGACTGCCATCACCGGTAGATCTGTTTTCTCTATTTTTTTTTTCTGGATCTGAAGATGAAAGAAAAAATTAAAAAAAAATAAAATTTGTTGATGAAGATGTGTTCATGAAGATGTTGTTCTTAATTTTTTTTTTTTTTTATTCTAGTAGATCCAGATTTGAAGGTAAAGGAAAAAAAAAATATATTGGCTGATCTGATCTCTGTTATGTATGTTGTTGTTGTTGATGATGATATATTGTTGAGCACGGAGCACTTAACCTTCCTCCTAACCTTCCCGTGTTGCTCTTAACCTTCCTCCTTCTTTTTCCTCTTCTTCTTCTTCGTCCTTCTTTCTTCTCTTCGGCTTCTCCTCTGTCTGAGTTGGAAAGGATGAAAAAAAGAAAAAAAAAATCGAAATATCAAAACGAATCGAAATATCAAAACGACGTCGTTTTGATATTTCGGACCACTTGAGCCATGGGAAATTCGAGTTACGAATCGGAACTGTTATACAAATTGTCATATCATCTTTTTATTTTATTTGTAAGTCATTTTATAATAAACAAAATGGCTAAAAGATTAAGTCAACCCAAACAATGTATTAATGATCACTTTTATTATCAAGTATGGCACCTAACGATATTTTCATATATCATTTTAAATTTATGGTAATAAATACTATAATTTACAAAAAAAAATTATCTATTAATAAAAGGGAAAAATTAATTTTACCTTGTGATTTAGCCCTAAAACACTTTACCTTCCCTATGGTTCTGAAATAGCCAATTACCATTTCTTTGAGTGGACAAAATAACCAATTACCCCTCATGTGAGTTTTTCTGTTTTGCAATTTACCTCATTACCATTAAATATTCAATCTAAATTAACAAAATGTATACACGCGCCAAAATTAGAGTTGATATGGAAAAAAAAATTATTCAAAAATTAAAATAACATTCAAAAAGACAAATTTACCCTAAACTTCATATTCTTCCTAGAAAATCCTATATCCAATCATCGTCTTCCCAGAACACAACCCTAACCCTAACCCTAAAAGGACCAACCACCCATTCCCATCTCTCTGCCACTACTTGCCACCTCTTCTGCCTCCCCTTCCTTCGTCCCACTATCACTACTACCCTCTCACATTATATCAACCCCTCCCCCTAACCAGCACAAATCCACTGTCAACTATTTTCAACTCACATGTCACCATTGCTACTTCCTTTCACATCCCCAACCACCTCGCATCAACCTCTCTCTTACTCAATTCAAAATTGCAATCATTCTCTCTTCCCACGCCCACTATCCCTTCACACCCTCTCCATTCATCTCCTTTCAAGAATGGAGTACACCACACACACACACACCAAAAAAAAAAGAGAAAAAACCCGAAGTTCCAACAATCAATTAATAGATTGATAATTTATTTGTTGTTCAAATTTTGAAATTAAATAAATAGATTTATGAAGAAATCAAATTATATATATACTAAGAATACATGCTAATAATTACAACTAAATTTCAACAAAAATACACAAAACAATAAAAGGGTAAAGAGACGAAACCGAAGCCTGCACGGAAGTAGTTTCCTTAAAACAGATTTCGCCGCCTCACTGGTCGAGTGCTTGAGGAATCCCGACGTCTGTCTCCCAGGATACGACGGTCAAAACCAGCTACGGCAGAAGCACTCTCTGTCTAGCTTAGCGAACAAAACAGTGGCAGCACTCTCTCACTGTAGGAACTTTCAGGCAAACTGACTTGTGTGTTTGAGACTTGACAGGAGGATCTCAATTTATACATGTATAGGGGAGAGAGGAAGAGCCTCCAGCCTTTATGGCTGTTCATAATACACCATTAACCTCTGCAATAAAGGCAGAAGTTACAAACCCCATTAATGTAGGAGTTACAAACCCCATTAATGCAGGAGTTACAAACTTCATTACCTTTTTTCCATGAAGCTAACTTCATGAGGTAATTTCTCATTCAAATCTCAATGGTTTTTGGCAATTCTATCTGTGGTGTAAAGATCTCAATGCAAAGTATCTAGACCCACTTAGACCCAACACAATAGATGGTTGGGACCTACTTTAATCTTTAATTAAAGTCACAAAAAAAAAAACCATTTTTTCCAACATTGTTTTCCTAACACTATTGGAGTGTTTGAAAGAAACAAGAAATTCAAGGCCTTGTTTTTGACAAATTCATTTATAACTGCTTAAAATACGAGATAATTATATTAAGGGAAAATCACACCTTACTTTATTTATGTTTGATTATTTTCTCATTTTCTCATTTTAATCTTTAAATATTTTTTTATTTTATTTTAACACTTCATGTTTCAAGCTTTTCTCAACTTATTCCTAAAACTAGCTTATGTTCAAAATTAAACATAAAATGTCACATTAACTACCACCACTACAACATATAAGAGTTTTAAAGACCAAATGTTTTGGTCTCTAAAATTGAAAATTTTGTTATAAAAGACATTTAGGGATCAATTTCCATCGTCATGAGAGTAGTCACTAAAAGGTCGTTCCGAAAAATAAAAACAAGGCTTTTAGCGACAAAATAATTTGGTCTCAAAATGATTTATGTTTTGAGACAAAAAATTTGGTTTTAAAAGGATAATAATTCATCACTAATGTCCAATTTTTGTTGCTAAAAATATAATGACACTTTTCGCAACAAAATTATTTGGTTCATAAAAAATAATTTTGTCCCTAAATTTTGATTTCTAAAACTTTAATTTTTTATAATGTACATAACATAAAAAAATATATTATTATATTAAGATTTATGTTTATACTAGAGGTGTAAGTCATAATAAAATATTTTTATATTACGTAAATGTCAATTTGTTATTTTCTATGTAATTTTGAATATAAATTAATTTTTGGACGTGGAAAAAAAGTACATGAAAAGTTAGTGGAAAAAAATCAAATTTAAAAATTAAAGTGAAAAAATAACCAAACATAAAGCATAGTGTACTTCACTCTTTAGTAACTTAGCAAAAAGCAAAACTTACTTCCCCAAGTAGTCTAGTACCACCTTAATTAATTAAAAAAATGATGTCTAAACAGAATGTTAAAAAATAAATAAATCATCTGAAATAAAGTAGGGTAAATTACATTTATCTCCCTTAAAGTTTGGAAAAAATACAATAAGCTTTATAATTTTGTCATAACAAATACTAAGTTTTATAATTTTGTCATAATTATACAAGACTCCCTTTTAATTAAGTAAGAGAGCTCAAAACTAATGTAAATAGTATAAAGACACGAAAAATAAAATATACGTTTCAATAGAAAATAGAATACAACATCTTTTTTTATTTGTATGACTAATGAATTATCAATGAAATGGAAGCTAAGTAATATTTAGAATTAAAGTTTTAAGAAAGCTCAATATAATTATACTCAATTTGGGAGACTTATTCTATTTTTTTTCTCTAAATTTTAAGAGAAATTAATAAAATTTATCGAATAAAATAATAGTGACATATTTTAATGACAAATATTAAATAGTGCTCTTAGGACATGGTTTAATATTGAAATTGATATATGCATTTTAAAAATATGTAAAAATATATATTCATTTGAGTAAAAAGTATATTTAATTTAATAAAAAGTAACTCGTATTCTTTATTTTATTTATTTATTTTTTTTTGTCTTTTTCTTGTATTTCAAGAATACTTATTAACAAAGTTCTTTATGAAATTATGAGGTTGTTTGGAATGTTTTAAATAAGTGTATTTTTTGATTTTTATGTAATATAGGTTGGGTTTGAAGTGATGTGGTAGAGAAGTGATGCGACTTAAATAAGATGATGAGACTTAAATAGAATAATAACTTTTTTGACTTTTTTAGAGGATGACAAACAATACAAAATGTTTTAATTTGAAATGAAATAATTACAAAATAGCACATTCAAAAATTTTATTTACATAACATTTTCTCATTTAAGACCATTGAAACTTTTTATGAAGAGAGAACCAAAGGCATCCATTTTGGCCCTAGGGAGTACCAAACCAACCTCCATGCCACCTTCCCCATCTCTACTCTCAGTAAGAGAAACTTCATGTGTTCTATCAATTGCAATTTCCTCAATCTTCCTGGGTCTGCCCCACCCGAAATCCAACCCATATAGATCCAACTTTGGTGAGCCGGTAACCCTCACATGGAGATCCGACCCAAATAACTCCTCCCAATCCGAAATCCAATTCTCTGCACCTCCCAACACTGCCCCATTCAACTTCTTAATTGTGTCTCCAATGGCTTTCGCCGCAATCAAAATCCCATCTTCTCCCATTAACTCACTTCCCATTGCCATGGATCGACCAAACGAGACACAATTACCCAAATATGTATCGGGTACAGCATAACCCAACCGGGTCATACCACCTGCAATAAAACCAAAATAATGTGGATCTAATTTACTTAGGCTTTTGATGTTGGAACAGCGAATTTTAGTCAAACATGCCCATATACATGCACAAGTTACCACATATGGAGATAGATACAATGGGTATGACCCGAATAGCTTATTGGACCGGGTCAAGATCCATTGTTTGAGTTTCTCCATATCGGGTTGACCCACAACGAAAGTGGCTCGAACCCTGTCTTCTAAACGTGAACCATTTTGGTCCATGAGATCTTCGCGAGTACTTCTTTGGTACCACCATTGTTTCAAGAGAATTGGCTCAATCCCATTTGGATCTTTGATCACGGACCTGTCATAGCTTGGTAACAGGTTGGGGTCTAGTCCCACTCTACAAATGGAGGCCCAAGATTTCAAGAAGTTATCGAATGTCCTTCCATCAGCCGCCACGTGGAGAAATGTGAACCCTATGCAAATACCATATTCGGAAAACAAGGTGACTTGGACAGCTAGGAGAGGGTGTACATGTGGGTCAGAATCTGACACACTTGGAGGTAGGGTGGGAACAAGGTGGTGGAATTCTTGGACATGTCTTTGGTGGTGGCCGGAGAGGTGGTTGAAATCGGCGGTGGACTCGACGACGGTGAAGGAAATGGAGTCGCTGTCGGTGTAAATGAGGTGGGGCTTGGTGGGTGGTGGAGGAGTCGTCAGATTTCCGGCGAGAGGGAAGAAGTTTTGGAGGGTGAGGGAGAGGGAGTGTTTGAGGTTGGACAGAAGGGTGGTGGTGGTGGTGGTGGTGGTGGAGTGAGGGAAGTCGTAGAAGAAGAGTGGTTGGGAGGGAGTGAAGAGAAGCCAAGGTATGTCAAAGAAGGTGAGAGGTAGAGTGGTTGAAGGAACTGAGCCGGGTGGTGGAGAGATTTTACGTTGTTCAAGCACCTTGAATTTGTGTGATGATGAAGCCATATGAGAGAGAGAGAGAGAGAGAGAGAGAGAGAGAGAGGGGGGGGGGGGGGGGGGGGGGGGAGGTGGGGGGGGGGGGAGGGCGGGGGGGGGGGGGGCGGGCGGGGGGGAGGGGGGGGGGGGGGGGGGGGGGTGGGGGGGGGGGGGGGGGGGGGGGGGAGAGAGAGAGGAGGTGTTTTCTAAGTTCAGAAATATTCCAAAGGTTAATATATACCTGAGTTACTTTACTTTAAAAAAAATAAAAAGGTGAATTTATTACGAAATTCTCTTTTAATTATTTGTATCTTAATTAGTTATAATATATTCTAATATTTTAATAAATATTATTATTTAAATATTAAATTCATTAAATCTTAATTATCATATTTAAAATATTTTATAACCTTTTGTATCCTTATAAATATTTTGTTAACCGTTCATATAATATTTTAGATATCATTAAAATTAAACTACGTGATTAACATCTATTAAATAAGATCTCATTTAAATATGTAATTTCATAAAAAATAAATAAATAAATAAATAAATTTAACAATGTGAATGTTATATGATGTGAACATTCATATTAAATAAATTTAACAATATGAATATTCACATCATGGAACACACGCATATTATTAATGTGAATATTAATGACCGTTTTATCCTATTATTATTAAGAGTTATGCTAGGGACCCCAAACAAATTACCAAATTTTCTACCAAACCTCTCACATGGGTGTGGGATCCACACACATTTAATTTATTTGGGATCCATAGCATTTTCCTATTATTAATAGTATTTTGGTAATTATGTTACCTATAAAATTTATTATAATATAAAAATAATAAATTGAACTAAGCAAAAAATAAATAAATGAAGAGAAATTTATGAATAAATATTAAAAAAATTAAAATAAAATTATATTTAGCGTAAATTACACAAAAAAAATGACAAAATTGAGGTGTTTGATGTAGAACAATTAACAACCCCAGTTTTAATAGGTGCTGACGTCAGTTAGAAAAAATAAAATAATGGTGCTGACCCGTGGACGCCTTTAGTTGTCTTATATTTTGGGTTCTGGCTAAGGTTATATTTGATTTCCTTAAAAAAAAAATAAAAAAAATTTAAAAAGTCAAAAAATTATTAAAAAAAAAAAAAATCATATTGTTTAGGAAAATCTCTCAATTGAAAAAAATAACATAAAATAAGTTAAAGGGAAAAACAGCGCTGCACAAATACGGTGCAGCTCCCATCTTCTCCCATTAACTCACTTCCCATTGCCATGGATCGACCAAACGAGACACAATTACCCAAATATGTATCGGGTAAAAAAAAAAAAAAAACGCAGAGGAAGAGAGGGAGGAAGGAGAGGAAGAGGGAGGAGGGAGGAGGGAGGAGGAGGAGAAGGAGAAGGAAAGGAAGGGCCGGACTGGAGGGGGCCATAACTAGTGGGGGAAGAGGAGGAGGAGGAGGCGGAGGCGACAGCGGTGCAGCTGCGGCGACGGCGGTGCAGCTACTACGACGAGCTGGATCGGGCGACGATCGGACTGCTGCGACGGCCGGCGGCGAGGCGACGAGCTACGATGGCGAGCTCGTAGCCTCCTCCCTCCTCCTCCCTCCCTCTTCTCCCTCTCCCCTTCCCTCTGGTTTCGAAGAGAGAGAAAGCAAGAATGAAGAAGAAGAAAAGAAAAAAAAACAAACAAACAAACAAAAAACTCCCAAAACGACGTCGTTTTGGTAGGCTGCCGGGTAGGGCTACCGGGTAAGGCGGCCGAGGATCCGGATTCACCCATCCCAGTCAAAAAGTTACGTGGCACACTGTGTAGCCACACATGTCATTAAAAAAAAAAAATTTTTTTGAAAAGAGACCTAAAGTGTACTGCACTCTCTTGTCAGCGAGGCAATTTTATAATTTTATATAATATTTTAATATATATTTTTTCATAAAAAGTTAAAAAATTAATCTAAATATTCATTTTTTTTTCAATTTTTTAATTTAAAAAGATAAAAAGTACGCTTATTTAAAACACTCCAAACAACCCTAACTGCAAAGGTTCAATTTGTTACAAAATAAAGTCGTTGAATTCACAATACTTTTATTATTATTATTATTATTATTTTATAGCTAACGAATTAAACGTGACTATTTATCTACTCGGTTATTACAGAATTATTTTGTAGCCATTCGAAAGTTTATGTGCACGCACGCATTAGGTAGTTAATGGTATAGAATAAGATAGCCGTTGGGCTCCATTATTAGCTAATTGTTCTAAATTGGATTATTTAGAATCATTTTAAAATTATTGAGAAGTATGATTTTAATTTTTTAAATTATAAAATTATATAAATAAAATTTTTAAACTATTAAATATCATTTTAATCTTTTAAACTATAAAAATATACAAATTGATTCCTTAACTTATTGGCATATTTTACTTTGGTCCCTCCCGTTATTACACCGTGAATTAAATAAAATTTTTAAACATTTTTTAGATGAAAATACCCTTCACCACTTTATATATTTATAATTTTTTTATTATTATTTTTTAAATATAAACATTTATCCATTATTATTTTTTAAATATTCTTTGTAAATATATTTTTATAGAAAGAATATTTATAAAAAAATAATAGAACGGAAAAATGAGAAAAATTGTGCAGAAATGTTCTTTGGTGTGTTATCTAGTGTTGAGGTATATTTTCATCTCAAAAATGTCAATTCAGTAACAGAAAGAGTCAAAGTAAAAATACACCAATAGTTTAGGTGGTCTATTCGTACATTTTTATAATTTAAAGGGTATCTAAGTGATACTTCTCAATAATTTAAATGATCTATTTATACATTTTTATAATTTAAGCGATTAAAGTGATATTTCTCGTTAATTTACAAAAATCTCCATATAAATAACCTGTCTAAATTCTAATATGCCTTGTGTAGTACAACCTGACATATATCTGATTTGACAGGATTAAAAATATAGGTTATCATTACATATTAGTGGGATTAAAATATATATACGTATAAATATGATAAATATTATATATATTAATAATTATAATTATAATTTTTTTTTATTTTTTGCATTAAAAAAAAAAATTTTGTTCCCGATCGATATGTAATTTTCCCTTAAAATAAACTATGTAGCCTTTAATTGCGCTCAAAATATTTTGTTTGCTTTTCAATTTCTTTAAAAAAAAAAATTAATACAATTTTAATCCTCAATCAAATTACTAAAATAGCCAAACTCTAATCCTAGCTTCAGCCATAGCCTTCCAGCTCCAACTACCCCCACACCACTTCTCACATGTGACTCGCAAACACCCCAACTCTCTGCAACTTGCAAACCCTTCACTGCCCTATGCAACTAGCGAAACCTCCACCCCTCCCCTCCCTTGCTGGTGCCATAAACCCTAGATCTATTTTTGGACAATTAGGAGTTACACATATTCACAATGTGACTGCATACACTTGTGAATTAACCTATTATGCATTAATAGAACATGAGCTTTTTTAAAAAATATTAATTGTGATCTTGCAATGAATCCTAATAAAAAAGCTAGCCCCAAACATGTCGGGTCTTGCGAACTTTGAACCACGTAAATCCTTGTCTTGTATGTTTTTGATTTCTTTGATTCGTTTTATTTTTCTTATTTGTTATTTTATGTCTCATTAATCCTAGTTACGAAGAGATAATTTTCTAGCAAAATCTATCCTCAGGCCATTGTACAAAAAAATATATATTGTTATTTGTAAGTTTAACCATTTTGTTTATGACTGTCCACGTCAAAAGAACAATGACAAATGGCGATGGTTTCCCAATTAAAGATCTGGAGCAAATGATACTCCAACCCAACGTTTCAAAACAGGATTGTGGTTGTGAGATGTAAATACCGTAACTTAACAATTGCAATAACTGAAAATTGCACAATTTGAAAAAAAAAAAAAAAATGTACCGATACACATAGGGGTGCAACTCGGGCGGGCTCAACCGTGAGATGTAAATACCGTAACTTAACGATTGCAATAACTGAAAATTGCACAATTTGAAAAAAAAAAAAAAATGTACCGATACACACACACACACACATATATATATATATATATACATTCTAAAATCACATTTATTAGGATTTAAAATAAATTTTGATAAATTTTTATTAATTTTTAAGTACCATCCAATATATTTTATATTTTCAAATCACTATAAAATGAATTTTTACATTTTATTTTAATAGTTAATGAGTTTAAGAATAATTGATTTAAATGTCTACAAATTATTTTTTATCCATACTTGAACTAATTGAATAAAAAATATTCACAATTATTAAATGAAATAATTATAAAAATAAAAATTGTGCCATAAACAAAAATTATTTTGAGGTATTTTTTTAGACAACATTTTACAAGTAACTAAATAAAATTATATACAATTAAGTATTAAATGAAATGATTATAAAAATAAAGATTATGCCATAAATAAATTAAAAAAATTTTTGAGATTCTTAAAAACTTTTTTTAGACAACACATTACAGTAACAAAATAAAAAGTATTTATAATTAAATATTAAATAAAATAGTTATAAAAATAAATATAACCATTGTTTATATATTTTTTATTTTACATGTTATATAAGAGCAAGGATCCTCTAGAGTGATTTTTTCCTAAAGTTTCCTAGAGTGCTACATTGTGTGGTTGAGATTTACTGGCAAATCACATCAATTTTTCTGATGTGACTTACCAGTAAATCTCAACCACACAATATAGCACTCTAGGAAACTTTAGGAAAATTTCACTCTAGAGGATCCTTAGTGGTTATATAATGTAACAAAAATTAAAAAACGTAAAACGGCCATTACACATAAATTTCCTTCGTACCGCTATAGCGGCCATAACAAGTGGAGTAACCACCACAACCGTTACGTAATGACGTTACGTAGCAGTTGCGGTCACTTTTTAAAACCTTGCTTCAACTTATTCCTTTAGGTTGCTTTTTGTTTATAAATTTGGTGAAAGATTTGGAAAGTGAAAAAATAGGTAAAATGTGAATGAAAAATAATTACATTTTACACACTTCTCTCACATTTTTTTCCTTCTCCTTTTCAAATCTCTACTCAAATCCATTAGGCAATTAAAGGATAATGTGGATGGTTGTATTCACTGGTAATGATCTCTAAACACCAGGATGGGGAGGGGAAGAGAGTCATATTAAGATTTTAGATTTCTTACAATTTAGGTTTTTTTCACATACATTTATTAATATCCGTCTCACTAATTTTATACATAATTGCAAAAAAATAATATTATTAAAACCAAATAAAGAAATCTTCATAACATTGCTCTTCATACATTAAAAATAAATAAACAAATCCGTTTGTGTTTCACTAACTACCATTGAATAAAATAGAAGTGGGTTATAACATGGAAAATATGATGATTTAAACACGCAAGCACGATCATGTTGTTAAAGAGGCATCACAATAGTACTACAATCAAATGCATACCCTATTTGCTGCAAGTAGGCCTCAACCATGGAGGTTTCAACTCTTACCTCAAAATAAACAAGAAATTGATGGATGGGGATTACTGCAAGTGACCACAACAATGCTTGAATTATCGTTCTGTGTATTGAGGTTCTCCCAAGCATTTTGTAATTGCCTCATTAGCCTTTTGAGACTCTGCCCTTTCCACCATTTTCTTCTTCTCCCTGAAAACCAATGAGAATTTACTTTTTGAGTTATATGGGGAATGGAAAAAAATTGATGTATTATTGATTGATGTATTGTTATATTTATTACTTGAATTATCGTTCTGTGTATTGAGGTTCTCCCAAGCATTTTGTAATTGCCTCATTAGCCTTTTGAGACTCTGCCCTTTCCACCATTTTCTTCTTCTCCCTGAAAACCAATGAGAATTTACTTTTTGAGTTATATGGGGAATGTAAAAAAACTGATGTATTATTGATTGATGTATTGTTATATTTATTACAATGATTCATGATTCCTATATATAGAAGAGGGTGAGTGTGTAGTAGGTAAGGAGTATGTGAAGTGGAGGTGGTAGTGGTGTGGTAGTGATGTAGTGGGTTAGGTTTAGTGGAGTAGGTGAGGTGGTAGTGGTGTAGTGGGTTAGGTTTAGTAGATGAAGTAGGTGATAGGTTTTAACAGCCCCCCGCAAACTCAAGAGGGATAGGAACTAGCCAACTTGAGTTTGGAGAGAGTAACAAAACAAGAAAATAGACGAATACATAAAAGAAAAGAGGATAGGAGACACTGTATGGTCGTGTCAGACCGATGGTAAAGACACTGTATGGTGGTGTCATAACGTTGTAGAGGACACTGGATGGTTGTGTCAGACCAATGTAGAAGACAGTTTATGGGGTCATGTCGGACCGTTGTAGCAGACAATGTTGTGACAGT